AAATACAGGATAAGCAATTAAAAACTATTTTTTTTCCAAATTGATACCACCACAACATAAGTTGCAATGCAAGAATGCAGTGTGTACTTACCAACATGAAAATAAAATTTATTCAACGAACTTGAGATCACTTAACGACGAAACCACATGAACCAACTTTTCTGACAGTTCGTCCCATCTTTTTAAAAAAAAAACATATCTCCAGAGATCGGCTATCCGATCACAAATGACATCGATGCTACATAATGCCACAGTACCTTTCAAATTTTCTCCTTAAAAAACATTTCTCTCAAAATATTCACGAAATAAAGTTTTTTGCCAAATTTCTTAATTGTTGACATTTGGAGACCGAATTACACCTTCTAGAAATTCTGCAGCGAATAGCAATAGTGCGGCAAAGCCAATTTAAATTCCATAAGTTACACATCACCAACAAATTGTAATACAAGCAACATATTCTTACTGATATGTGTCAAATAGTATGCCACATAATATGACACTTATTACAGCAAATTATAAACTTGAGCCAAAAACTCATTTATATAAATGATAATAAACATCGTCTGCTAAATAATAGCACTCATAGTCGTACGGTCAAGTCAAACTTCTACTGGCGTCCATAACTACAGTACATACGGTATTCCAATAGAAATACTTGTCGACATTTCTAAATATACTATTCAAAAAAAGTAGGGGATATTTGATTTTGGGGGCATAATACTAAAATATGCAAATGACTACGAAAAAAGTCACTATAGAACCTAACAGAAGAAACATTTCCAGTTACATGTGACGCCCAAACGCACCAATAGCTACCGCATGGAATGCAGGTGATGCTTGGGATCATCATGGGGGTCCAACCCAAGATTTGCACGACTCTGACTTTGAATGTTACAGTCATTGTGGCATTGAATTCCAGGGTGGAAACATCAGTTTAATTGTTTTAGTGACCAGAAAACAAATTTTGATATGCGTCGGCTTACCCAAAATGAAAGGTTACGTGCCCTTGGCATGCTACAGATCGGCACAACACAGGCGGTTGTGGCGCGGACGATGAATGTTTCTCAGTCTGTCATAAGCAGGCTATGGTCCAGATACCGTGATACACAATCTGTACAGGACAGACCACGCTCAGGTTGACCAAGGGCGACAACTCAAGCCCAGGATCGATTTATCCGTACCTTGGCCTTGAGAAATCGTGTCATCACAGCAAATCAGATCAGCGCTCGTCTTCAAACAGACACTGGTGTGAGAGTGAGTGGCCAGACGATTCGGAATCGACTGCATAGGGGTCACCTTCGCGCCCGACGTCCTCGCGTGATCCCTTGTTTGAGAGATCATCACATTCAGGCAAGACGTCGTTGGTGTAGGGATCGTCAACACTGGGATAATCGACGCTGGAGCAATGTGATGTTTTCAGATGAGTCAAGGTTCACTGTTGATTTTTTGAACAGACGTAGGAGGGTGTGGCGTCGTCGAAACGAGCGCTTCCAAGACGTTAACGTCATCAGACATGATCGATTTGGGGGTGGTTCTGTTATGGTGTGGGGAGGCATCACTGTTGCTGGAAGAACGGCTTTACATGTTGTTGCAGGGCGTGTTACAGGCCAGTACTACCGGGACAACATCTTGGCAGTCCATGTTGTGCCGTTCGCACGACGTCATGGCCGCCGTTTCATCTTCCAGGATGACAACGCAAGATGTCACAGGGCCAGGATCGTTACAGGTTACCTTCAACAACAGAACATCACCACATTACCTTGGCCAGCACTGAGTCCCGACCTCTCCCTCATCGAGCATGTCTGGGACATGCTTGGACAGAGGTTACGTCAACGTCAACAACGTCCTGCCAATGTCCAAGAACTTGCTGCTGCGTTGCAACAGGAATGGGACAATCTGGACCAAAATGACCTTAGACGTCTCATTAGGTGTATGCCACGTCGGATCAATGCTTGTTTGGCAAACAGAGGAGGATTTACCCGTTACTGACTTGGTTGTGATGCTGTGGTAACTTTGCTGTTTGACCCCGGGTATCATTTTACCCTTATAATGGTCAGTCTGTGCCTTACTTAGTCTAACGATCATTTGGAATAAATCGATGAATGTGAACTTCATTTCATTTTGTCATTTGTTTCTTCGTCAGTTTCATTAGGTGACTTTAATAACACTTAAAAATCAAATATCCCCTACTTTTTTTGAATAGTATATATATAGCTTGTATAAATTTTGTTTAAAAACATAACCCCTATTCAAAATATAATCATAAACGACTGAAAATTCCATCAAAATATAATCTATTTCTTCCAGAATTATTCTCATTAGAAATTTTCACGTGCCATCTCTCGTAATTTCTCACGTCTCGTGAGAGTCCTACTTTTCATTTCAGTTAAATTAACCAATGGTGCACAGGCGCCATCTATTTTTAGCAACATATTCATCGGAATTTTATTACCTTGTGCGATCACATTATACTAATCGAATACACCAAATAAATCTTCACAATGACAGCATGGTGGCGCTCGGAATGTGAGTCTTTCACACTCTTTTGAAAAAAAAAACAAATACATGTCCATGATTTACAGATATGGAGAGCGATTTTCAATTTTAAGGCGAGGGAGAAAAACCTCCCCTCAGTCGACATTCGGGTGCGCGACAGGCGCTCGAGAGCGATCGCGCGCCTCAAAAAACAATGACTGGAGTCTCGACGGTTGTTGTACACACCATGGGACAATAGTTGAATGTGATAAGTAACGTCAGAAAGTTCAAATAATTCTTGTAGGTGTAACCGCGTTTGTTGGACATTTTGCAATATTTTCACCATAAATTTACGCCTCAGTGATCACAAGATCTGTTTAAAGGGTCAGTGGTAGTAAAAAAATGGTCTGTGAGTAATGTTTTTTATTTTAGACTTTTGTATCCAAGGGCCACTATTCTGGTTTTTGAAATAAATTTTTCATCTTTTCAGGTGTTGTGACAAAATGGTGTCACTTTACCTTGCCCTTAAGATCATGAGACGAAGAATCCTATTGATTTTCAGCAATTTACGATAATTACTGCCAGAGTTATGGCCCTTGATCACTTCAAAAAATCTTGTGGACGCTCTAGAGTCTAAAGTTAATATCCGATTGACTTAAAATTTATACACAGTGTTTAAGGTCATGAGACAAAGAAGTCTATTCATTTTCAGTGATTTTCGATAATTACTGCCAGAGTTATGGCCTCTGATCACTTCAAAAAACCTTGTGGATGCTCTAAAGGCTAAAGTTAATATCTGATTGACTTTAAATTTATACAGTGTTTGAGGTCACAAGGCGAAGAATCCTATTGATTTTCAAAGATTTCTGATAATTACTGCCAAAGTTATGGCCCTTGATCACTTTGAAAAATCTTGTGGACTCAATTTAGCATAATATATGGCCAGAAATATTGTAAATGAAGCTATTTAAGTTTAAAACTATGACTTTAGAATACATGTATAGTGAAAATGTTGAAATTGATCACTACAGCAATAAATTGTTGTTTCAGAATTAACAGATCTTTAACAATAAATCATGCTATAACACTATTCTAAACCCATATCCAAGAATAAATATTAAATATTTAGATTTCGAAATGTTCACAATTAAACAGAATTAACAATAAAAACAAAATCACAAATTACTACGGCATATTATGAAAATCTTTTCAAATAAAGCGACCGAAATAACAAAAGAGATTTTAAAGTCGTTTTAGACTGGAAGCCAACTCCAAAGGTGATTGCATGCTTTTATAAATAGACACATGGAGCCCGTGCTCTCGATCTGTCATCACGTTGATAAATCACATAATAAAAATTGGATCCACTCGACCCGTAGTTTATTAGTACCGGGAGAAAAATAATAAAGCTATTTCATACAATCGTAAACAATAGAAATATTAACAAGTGTTTAAATTTAGCTGTTCTTGTAAAGCCTCTATTTCCATATTAAGTCAAAGGTCAATGGACAATATCAACGCCGGCGCATGTCCCTATTTGCATTAGTGTTATTTGATATGTGAATTATCATTTGTTATATATGTGGAAATTAAATTTTTCTTGGATAGTCCTTTTTACAACCCAGGTAAGAATAATTACATTTATGCAATAAAACGCCCACGTGTGGTAAATATAGACATGACAAAACCAATAGTTTTTCATCAATTGCTCGATTTTATATTTATAAACTTGCTTTTTGAAACAGATTCGTTAGTCTGATATCAATGGAGGCTGGTCCGGTTATCGGTAAATAACGTGCATTTATACTTCAGTGGTACGCACGATAATATATAAACAAATTAAACCCACAAAAAAGACAAATATATAAATAATTGCAGCCCGACTATGGTTCGATGTATAAAACACGTAGTATTCACCAAGAAATGAAATACGTATAAGAACGAACAAATGTAACTACAGGACGTATAAATCCATGTATAAAGACCTACACTTAACAAAGACCGATCTGCGTAAAACACTGTCGAACAAGAAATCGCACGGTAAATTGGATTTAACACCTACGCGTCAGATAAAGCCTGTTGGTCCTTGATAAAACACCTTTGGTGCAGTTATAACACGCTTTCGAGAAAACTCACCAAAAGAAGAATACACACCGTGTCAGTCGTTTTTAACCCGTTCGTTAATTAACACACCGGTACAGAAAACGCACCGTCGCCGAGATTTTCACCCCTAGCGATAATTATATCACCACTCAGTCAATTTCTCACCCCTGTTAATTAACACACCCTACCTACAGATTTTAGCCTCTTCATATTAGATTTGTTGCGATAATTAGAATTTTACCGATATTCATAGAAATTTACCAAATCAGGAGATATCTGTGCCCTAGACGTACAAATCTCACTCTTACTACTTCTCAGTGTTCCCACAGTAGATTCAAAACTTATTCAGAGTCAAAAGTGATGTCCAGAACTTATTCAGAATGTTTAGATACTATATAGATACTATGGATTTTATGTTTCAGTCCTGTTCATATTTTTCATCCAACGCCTTTCCTCTAAAACTTATGTTCAAAAATTCCAACTCAAAAGCTGATCCAGTTTATGCCATGTATAAGGTAATTAATCTCTGATCTACATTATACCTTATAACTTTGCTAACAAAAAAACTATATATTCATATAACACTACAAAGTTGTGCAACCCAGATTCTATTCCTACATGACTCCTTAAAAAAAGTCATTTATAAAAGAATCTTGTATTGTCGTCGCCCCCGTCCGTCTGTTGGCTCGGCAATCCCGCTTCCAAAAGCAAAAGTTAATATCCGATTGATTTTAAATTTATACACAGTGTTTAAGGTCATGAGACAAGGAGGCTTTTGAATTGCAGTGATTTCTAATAATTACTGCCACAGTTATGGACCTTGATCACTTTGGAAAATCTTGTGGATGCTCTAGGGGTTAAAGTTAATATTCGATTGACTTTAAATTTATCCACAGTATTTAAGGTCATGAAACAAAGAATCCTATTGATTTTCAGTGATTTCCGATAAATACTACTAGCGTTATGGCCCTTGAACACTTTGAAATATTGTGTTGACACTATAGAGGCTAAAGTTAATATCCAATTGACTTTAAATTTATACAGTGTTTAAGGTCATGAAACGAAGGAGCCTATTGATTTTCAACGATTTCCGATAATTACTGCCAGAGTTATGGCCCTTGATCGCTCTGAAATATCTTGTGGACACTCTAGAGGCTAAAGTTAATATTCAATTGACTTTAAATTTATATGCACTGTTTAAGGTCATATGACGAAGAAGCCCATTGATTTTCAACTATGTTCGATAATTGCTGCCTGAGTTATAGCCCTTGACCTCTTTGAAAAATTTTGTTGAAGCTCTTGAGGCTAAAGTTAATATCTGATTGACTTTAAACTTACACACAGTGTTTTTAAAAGGTCATGAGACAAAGCATCCTATTCATTTTCAACAATTTCCAATAATTACTACCAGAGTTAAGGCCCTTGATCACTTTTACAGATATGTGGACACTCTAGAAGCTAAAACTCCATTTCATTCACTCTAGAGGCTAAAGTTAATATAAATTGTTTAAGGTCATGAGCCAAACAATCGAAACAAATTCTAATGTTTTCTGATAATTACTTCATGGGTTATTACTTGTAATATGCTTTTGGTGCTGGAAAGTATGCATATAGTTTACTTTCAAAACATCGTGGGGGGTTGGATGGCTGAATGGTTAGCACGTGCGTGCTGTATCATACGGCCTGTCATTGAGTCAACGGCGTGGTTTCGAATCCCCGGTTGTACGTGACAAGGAGTAGGGTCGCCTGTTCAAACTCGTGGGTTTTCTCTGGGTCCTCCGGTTTCCTCCCACAGCTAAAGAACCCTATGCGCAAGCGAATTATTGAAATAAAATTAAACCATATGTTAGTCCCGAAGTGACCGTGTTTGTGTCGAGTGGGCGTTAAACCCCATTTCTCTCTCTCTCTCTTTCAAAATATTGTTCGCTAATTGATAAAAATCGTTTAAGAATTACAAAAATGGTTTAGTTAGTACTATGGCTTAGTTTAATGGTAACCGGTTTAGTTTCTCCGAGAGGCGTTTATAAATGGAAGACCCGTTCACTTATCTACGGCGTTTACTTATTAGACAAGCCGTTTACATTTCCAAGATGCGTTGAAAAGTCAACACATTGTTTACTTATCTATGGCCTTTACTTATTAGACAAGCCATTTACTTTCCCGAGATACGTTAAAAAATCAACACACGGTTAATTTATCTACGGTGTTGAACTATTAGATGAACCTTTTAATATCCTGCGAGCTGTTTATCCGATCGGTTCATTTTGATTACGATTATTTACATATGGAGTACGAATAAAAAAGGTAAATATAAAAAAATGCACACCCATAGATGATCACCTTAGCGTGGTCGTAGTATTATTTATTACCCATTATCGTAGAAAATAGTATTCCACTATTGACAAATACATCAAAAATCGGTAAATCACGTCTCAGGTAATTACTGAATTGGAAATCGGTAAATCACACGCCAGGTAATGTATCTTTTTTTAAATAACAACTAAAGAACCTAGTCTTCTATCTGTACACATGGTCATAAGTCAAGCTCACAATGGCAGTGCGGTAATAATAAGAAGAACTAGAACTGCGATGCAGTAATGACGGGTTTCACCGGTGCCACATTACCCTTGAACTTATGTCACTTCCGGTGCCAGTTACCCAGCAATATCAATTTCATTTATACATTTGTTGCCATGTGTTACATATGTCAAAGAAGTGATCCTTACAAAATTTGTTACTAACTTACTGCTAAGTTAGCTGACTTTTTAATGGGAAATTTCTCGACAAGGGAAGATGCTAGAAGCAATTTTTGGACATCTATATGATTGTATTGATCCAATCTATATGTCAATTGGAATCAAATATCATATATTAAACGAATGATAAATATAACTCACTTCAAAACAATTTGAAGGCTAATAATACAGTTTTTGCCAAAATTACATTACTTCCGGTGATAATAAAAATGTTACATTAATTCTATGAAAATATAAATGGCATAAGGCCTCACATGGTGAAAATTTTATGATAATCAAATATTAATTGACACTTTTATAGACCAAAACCTTGAAAAGTGACTTTTAGAATATCATCTATATCTCTGCAACCGAACAAGTTAGAAACCATTTTGTGATATCTGTATGGTCGTATGGGTTTTTGCCCAAATGTCGTCATTTTCAGTGACAGTGAAAATGTTAAATTGGATTGACCTAGTCAAAGGTAGCATGAGGCATCACATGGTAACAAAAATCGAACGATAATTGACACTTTTACATGCAAAATATAGTGAAAAGTGACGCATGCAAAATTGCCTATTTCTCGGCAACTGTGCATATTGCAATCTAATTTTGACATACATTGTCCTCGTATGGATTAATGCTACAAAATTATGAAAGTTGCGTAGAAATAAAATATGAAGACGATGAATGGGTTGTAAATAGCTGATTTTTACTCCTTTTTTTCAACCTGGCGCAAATACAAAACTGATACAAAAAAAACCCTAAAAAACTAAGCCCGACATATTTTGGGCCTGTAGTAGGAGCATTCATCTTCATTGATAAGATTTGTAGAAATTAAGATTTTTCCTTAGGAAAAGACCTCCCGACCCGTCAAAATTTAAATTTTAGGCAAAATTACGTCACTTCCGGTGCCGACAGAAAACTTTATAAGTAGAAACAAGTTGAGAATTTGCACCAAGGAATATATGATCTTTTGTTTTATACAAATCCGGCAATAAATAAATAATTTAGAACCCATAAACTGTAATAAAAATGCGAAAAGTCTTAAAAAGTGATCCTGACGAAATTGGTTATTTCTTTGCAAGAGAAGATGTTAGAAGCTATATTTTGACAAATTTATGATCGTATTGATCCAATCTATATTTCCATTGGAATGAAATATAATGTTAAACGAATACTAAATATAACGGACTTCAAAAAAATATTTGTTTTGAAGGCTAAAAATACAGTTTTTGCTAAAATGACATTACTTCCGGTGAGAATGAAAATGTTAAATTAGTTTTATGAAATCAGAAATGGCATAAGGCATCACATGGTGAAAATTTTATGAAAATCGAATAATAATTGACACTGTTATAGACCAAAAACCTTGAAAAGTGACTAGTAGAAAATCGTCTATTTCTCTGAAACCTTACAATTTAGAACCCATTTTGTGGTATCTGTATGGTCGTATGGGTTCATTCTATTTGTTGATTGAAATTAAATATACTTTTAAACAAATAACATGTACGACTCATTTGACAAAAATATCGGTTTTGAAGGCTAAAATTCAGTTTTTGTCCAAATGACGCCACTTCCGGTGACAGTAAAGGTGTTAAAATGGTTTAATCTAGTCAAACGTGGCATTCGGCATCAAATGGTGAAAGAAAATTGAAAATTGAATAATAATTGATTCTTGTACAGGAAAAATAGCACGAAATGTGACTCATGCAAAATTGCCTATTTCTCGACAACTGCTGATATTACAAACTAATTTTGACATACATTCTCTTTGTATGGGTTATTGCTACGAGGTTATGAAAGTTACGATGAAATATTAAGACGGTGGAAGGGTTGTAAATAGCTTATTTTTACACCTTTTTTCACCTTTGAATCTAAATGGCCCGAAAACGAAAAATCGAAATTAAAAAAACTGAGCCTGATGTTTTGTACGCAAAGGCGCACCTTTTCAGTTAAATCAGATTTGAAAAAAATGATATTTGCTTTCAAAATGTTGTACCGAACTGTCAAAATCTGTCAAAATTGTAGTTTTTGCTGATTTTACGTTACTTCCGTTGCCGACAGGAATCTTTACCGGTAACAAAAAAATGACATTTTGGACCATGCAGCATATAAACTTTCTTTTGTACAAATCGAATAATAAATAATTAATCTAGGACTGAAAAACAGAATTAGCCAATGGTGGCCAAGGAAAATTACGGACACAGAAAATGTTGACATTTTTAGTCAAATCGGATAACTCTTCAACCCTGGTTAAAATGCCATATAAAAATATTCATAAAAAAAATAGTTTTTTGTAAAATTTTAAATTTTCGAAATTTGGCGCTTAATATCTACGAAGATTCGTCGACAATCAAAAATCAAAAGTAGCACAGCTATATGCCTGGTCTCCGGCTATGTCAAAATGCATCATATGTTAAAATTCGATGATTATTGTTAATACTACGGAATTTTTTTAAAAAACGACAACTTCGGTGATTTCGGACATTTCGCATTGTCACAGAATGCCCAAAATAGCTCTTATCTCTAAGTCACACCCACTTTCGCAATAAAACCGAAGAAATCGTATCGATCCGACATGTAGTTTCTGAGATACAATCAAATTTTGCATTGTCACAGAATGCCCAAAATAGCTCTAATCTCTAAGTCACACCCACTTTCGCAATAAAACCGAAGAAATCGTATCGATCCAACATGTAGTTTCTGAGATACAATCAAATTGGAAAAAATAAATAATAATAAGAATAATCTTAACAAAACAATAGTGTTTCACACAA